AACGTCCTGCAGCCACTGCCACTCTGGTCACTTTCTGAGAGCATGGCACATAGGGGACACCTGGGTACAGGAGACTGCTGACCTGGCCACAGTGCGGGTGGGCTTGGATGCCAGTGTCCCTGAGTTTACAGGACTTCCAAACAAGCACCTGTGTGTATTGGTTTATTATTTCATTTGTGGGAGATGATATAGTAAGAAAAAGCAATTCTCTCTCTCTCTCTCTCTCTCTCTCTCTCTCTCTCTCTCTCTCTCTCTCTCACTTTCCCTCAAAAGGAGACTTCACCATTTTAAAATAAATGCATCTGTATGAAAAGAAAAACAATTATGGTGCTAAAGTTTGCTGTTGAGACCTCTCGTCAGACATCAGGGGCATTAAGCGGGATGATAGCCACAAACAGCAGGAAGGTCTCCTAGGTGGCCCCCTACTGTATGTTGCTGGAGACTTAGACCACTCCATCACTATTTGTTCATGTTGTTGAGGGGAGACTGGCATGCAAGTGTTCTATGTTATAAAGTTCTAAGAGGATGCTGGTACCCACTGTCTCATATCATACTACCTGAGGGAAGCTTGTCTCCCAAGTCAGACAGGGATGTTTCCTTTAGAAGGTCAGTGCTTGGAAGCATTTTGATGATGACCACCTACAAATGTACCCAACAGAGAATTGATGAATAAAGGAACAAGCAAGCAAAAAAAAAAAATTTTAACTGACACAGATTTGTATTTGCTACAGCAGTAGCGCTACCCTCTTATTACAAATGAGTAGAAGATGCTGTAAAGTGTGAACTTGGCTACTGCCTGCTGTGTTTTGCATATGTATGGGGGAAAGCAGCTTGTGAAGGCTACAACTATCTTGTACGTGCAGGTTCTGTGCTTGTCTATGTCCCTGCATCAACTCAGACACCTATCCTCCAAGGCCCTAATAGCGCATACTACTAAACAGGCCAGGAGCCTCACTTTAGAGCTCTCCCAATCTGCCCAGCACCAACTCACCATGCTCATTCAGACTGTGTCCCCAGAAAACCATCTAGGATTTCCTCAAAAACCAACACATCTAAGCCTGGGGTGGCCCTAATGCCTATTACTCCCAACCAGGAGGCTCCTGGAAATAACTCTCTTGGGAGTTCAAAGCCACATCATTCACCATTTCTCAGACTTGCCATCCTCAACCTCATCGCCGAAGGGGTACCTCTTTGCTCACTGCCTATCACCAAGCTCCTCCTGGATGTCTGGCCTCTGACCCAAACTCCAAACCAACCACACGGAAATCTGTCCACAGTGCTTTAGGGGAGCCAGTCTTAGGCACTGATGCATGTTTGGAGTAGCTGGATATGAGCATATTATCTCGGGCAACTTAGGCAACATGGCTCTTAGTGTAAAGAGCACCTCTCCGGGACTTAGAGATGCTGTTTACAATGCTGTTTCATCTCAGAGAGTTCTAGCCTCGTAGTCCATAAATTTGGACATTTCAAGATTACATCCAGTAGTTCATGGCTTTTATGAGGATTCAATAACACATTCAATCACTGCAAAAATGCTCTGGCCAATGCAGAGCCACAAAATACTAATATATTTTCTTTCTTTTGTAAGAGTCCTCCTAAAATATGCCTGCCACCCATCCCCTGCTTCCATCATTGCTTGAGCTGAGCTGCCCTTGCCATTTCTAAAATGAACATATTGAGAGCAGATTGAGGGCCACTGCGCAAGCACATTGATACACTACCTCCCTTGGTGTCTCATCCAACCCCTGGGGACCACATGGATCAGAACCCCAGTCAACAAAGGTAGATGTGGAGACCATGAGATGAGCAGAGAGGCTATGACATGGACTGTAGACCAGCTCTTCTGCTGACTAGTCTCTAGCCTTTAAAAGCACCAAAACATCTCTGTTGGGAAAGGTTTTGGAAGTCTATCTGTTGTCTTTCAACAGAGCTTCTTTGGAAGGCAGAGGAAAGGGGTGGATTGTGCTGCATTGAGCATTTTCAGTGCTAAAGAGACAAATATGAAATTGGAGGTGGGGAAGGATGACATCACAAAGCACCAACCTGATACATAGTAGGTATCCAATGAACACAGGTTGAGTGCAGAGCTGACGTTCGGCCTACAGTGTCTTCATCATGCCAGCTGTTGATAGCTACTCTCTTCAGTGCCCAAATATTAAATATGAATGAAATAAGATATGGGAGTTTTTACACACAAATTTGTGTGTGTGTGTGTGTGTGAGACTATCGTGGATGTTCATGGTATATAAGCACATGTGTGTGGTCACACATGCATGGAGAGGCCAGAGGGGAACTCTGTCTCTCTCTGCATTATTCCCTTGAGCCTGGTTAATAGTGTGCTCCTCTTGTACCTGCCCCCAACAAAGCTGGGGTTGCACAGCATGCTCAGCTTTTTTACAGGGGTGCAGGGTTCCAAACTCAGTTCTAATTCTTCTGCAACAAGTGGCCTCATCCTCTGAGCCATCTCTGCAGCCCTGAACTTGAACTTTTTAAAATTTACTTCTAATTTCAGGAAATAAAAGGGATTGAAAGTCATGTACCTTGCCTTAATAGTAGAAATATGAGTCATAGAAAGTCACATTTGAGTTCTGTCACTTTTCCTGAGTTGATTTTTTTTTATTTTAATCCTCTATGAATAGACAAACAACCAATCAGGTCACTTGGCTCAAAGTGTCTGGACTGTGTCAAGACCAGATAATGCAACTGGTTGACCTGTAGTTCATGCTTTTCTAGAGTAAATTTGTTACAAATAAAAATATTGTTTACAGAGCCAGTAAGCTGGCTCAGCAGGTAAGGGTGCATGCAGCCAAGACTGGTGACCTGAGTCTCATCCTGGGACCCAGGTGGTAAAAGGAAAGAAGCGTCTCCACTAAGCTGTCTGCTGACCTCCACACACACACCTTGACATGCATACCCTGCCCCTGCACACAATACAACGAATAAATACAATTTAGAATTTAAAATATGCTGTTTGCAGAAGCATTCCTTGGGAAGTTGAGTCTGAAGACAATGAATACAATGCCCATAGAGGAATTATCTCCCACCCAGGCAGGGTCCACCTTTGGCTTCACTATGGGGTTGCTCACCATGGGGCATTCCTCACCCACAGTACCTTTTTTTTTTTCATTTTTCTTCATTAAGAAATTTTCTACTCACTCCACATACTATCCACAGATTCCCCCCTCCTCCCACTCCGCAGCCCTCTTTCCCAAGCCACCTCACATCCCCACATCCCCCAAATTGAGGTCTCCCATGGGGAGTCAGCAGAGCCCAGAACACTGAGCCTAGGCAGGTCCAAGCCCCTTCCCACTGCACCAAGGCTGTGCAAGGTGTCACACCAGAGGCACCGGGTTCCAAAAGCCTGCCCATAGACCAGAGACAGATTCTGATCCCTCTGCCTGGGTGATCCCCAAACAGTTGGAGCCAAACAACTGTCTTCTGTATCCAGAGGGCCTAGTCCAGTCCCATGGGGGCCCCAGAGCCACCAGTCCACAGTTCATGGGCTTCCACTAGTCACCCACAGAACCTTTAAGAGAGAAGGAATAAGTCAAGAAAAATAAGGACACCTAAGTGGCTCTCCACAGCCATGTGTTAAGAGTTCTGGTTTGCAGGTCAGTGGAAAAATGGCATCTCGGGATTACTCAGGGGGAAGAGTGATACCGGCATTCTGGCACCTCATTGAGATTCCTACACAGGAAACGAAAAGGGCACTTCTAGATTTTATCTTCCTAAAGCTTTTTGTCTCACAATAAATATTTCTATGTAAAAGAGCAATTTTCTGAACCTTGAGGATGTCTTCTAGTACAGATAATGACAAGTACTTAAACTGCATTTTAAAAGTGCTGAGTAGTTGATCCCAGTACTTAATGATGTTCCCCATCTCCTCCGCATCTGATTGACACCAAAAATAATAAATTAGAACAGAAAGTGATTTTACGAGATCTTTGGACTGACAGGCTGGCTAAGCATAATATCTTCCATTACATTTGACAATGGATTCTATACGGTTCAGATCTGAGCAAGGAAGATAGGATTGCGCTCTGATTCATGATTTTTATCTTGATTCATCTATCTCTCAAACATATAAAGTTAATTTGCCCACTTGTAAATTCAGGCAAAGAAAAGTGGGTACCGAAAAAAAATCTTTCTGCGTGGTAATATAAACACTCTGGTGGCCAGCCTTTCACACAGACAGGAGTGAAATAATAAATTAAGAATCATCGTTCCCAGGTTATCTATGACACAGCTTCTAAGGACACCTATTTCCTTCATCTTATCTAGTGAATTTATAAATTCAAATCAATACTTACTCCTGCTGAAGTACCAGGCTCCATTTGAGAATTCATATTTTAAAGAGCCCTTCTTGGCACTGGTCAGCTGTGAGAATCTCTTCAAGGTGTGTATACACACAATACAATGAAGCCCTAGGTTTGTTTTAAGCAGTGAGTGAGCATACCAAAATTAATTTTTATAATTACCTACAAGGCAATGGATGGTTACCATTATATTGGAGTTGTTTCTTCTTTCTGTTTTATTTTGTTTTGGTAAATCATGGTAGATTGGTTCTTGCATTGGGGTAGCAGAAAGAAAAAATAAGTACAGAGAAGGAAGTCTAAAATATACCCACTTTTTGTTTAAAGAATTGAGTATTGTCACTAGGGATAATATTTAATTTTGACTCGCTCAGTGAGCCCTCCCGGTACACAGGTTTTTCTCCATGAAAGACCTTAACCACAGTGGCCATTTGCAGCTGATGATTTTTATATAAATAATTTATAAAGCCACTGTACACTTATACTTTTACAATGAGAGAGAGAGAGAGAGAGAGAGAAACAGAATTGCATCTTAAACTCTATTTACAAATTTACCTTGGCAGGCCCTCTCACTGCCAATAGGAAGCCACGTTGCATATTTAATTTGCTCTTTTGTTACAACGGGGCTTAGGTTAGTTAATTTCAATTTTCGATTTCAAAAGCTATCAAATATGGCTCAGATGAGAAATCAATTTTTCTCAGCTGCCTCCGTTTTTGTGATGGGCAGCATCCCATTGGCTGAAGGTGAGCCACATGACATGGCGAGAAATTAGTTCACCAGACCCGTGTTGCTACCACCTCAATTACTGCCTGCCTCTTGTAATTTAGCCTTATAACACCTAATTTCAAGACAGAACTCATATTTAATTCATGAAAGCTTCCACAAGAGTAATTGTGAAATAAATTGCCGTAGAAGAGACCCATTTGTGACTCGTTTTAATTTTGTGTGCTGCGAGCACGCTGTTTACTGCACTTGTTTAACACTTTAGCACAAACATTTTCTTTTTTTTTAATGTTGAACTTTATGCACTGATAGAGCCACATCCTTTGGCCCATTTTCCCACACTGCATCACCTCCTCCACGGGGATTTCCTTTCACCAAACTTCCACCCAGTGGTGATTCCAAAGACTGTTAAAAAAAAAAAAGAAGAAGAGGAAGAACTTATAATCTCTTAATTATTGAATGTGTTGTTATGATCTGCACACAACTTTGAAAGTAGCAACTGGAATCGCAAATGACAGCGGGATAAATGGTGGTTAGATGACAAGGATCATTCAGGGGGCCAAGAAATAAATCGAGTTTAATTTAAATAATATTTTAAACAAAGGCATTCATTACACATATTGACATTTTCATTTCAACATTGGTATATATTTTAAAATTCGTGAACCAAAACATATATATTTCCTGTGTGTACACACCGTTTTGTCCTTTTCCTCCCTGTTGCTATGCCAACAAGGTGGGTGAGGCCTTCTCAACTGCCAAACTCAGCTGTCATCCCTTCACCCTAAAAGCCTTATAATTGCTTTTATTTGCATACGACAATTAGGCAGGATGGCTCACAGCGAGAAAAACCAACCTTTCTCTCCCCAAGTGCACACAGCGCCAGCCTGTAATTTATAAAAGATACGCACCATGTGGTGGAGCACTAAAATAGAGTGATGAGTCCTTTCATCTGATTGTAAGCCATTAACAAAAGAAAACATCCCCTTTCAGGCTATAAAAAATGCCTATCTGGTGTGAACCTGCAAAATCACAAAGTGCCCCCTCCCGGTTCCCCCCACACAGACCCTTCACGTTCATTATCACATCGAACTCAAAAGGGGCCGTAGTAAAAGAGTTACATTTGGGTGTTTATGAGTAATGGGGTGCAAATAAAATCCACACTGGGCTAAAATTGCATCCAGAGCAGTGGGTGCTTGGGGGTAGGTTTCTTTCTTTTTTTTTTTCTTTCTCTTCCTCTTCTTCGTTCTCAGCCCAGCTTCGCAGCACTCTGCATGCTGAAATGTCATATTAATATAGTCATTATTACCCTTTTTCTTCAGGGAAACCATGGCAGGATTTTCCAATCAGCATTCGGGTCTGTGAAAGCTCAAGTCAGGAGGAATGTGGATGGCTTAAATCACCCTCCGTTTCGGTTTTCAAAAGGTCTTCAAAAATTAGTGTCTAGTGTAAAAGGTCAAAACATGGCCGGGAATCATTTCAGTGATTTATTGTCCTCGTTGGTTTTTTTTTTTTTCTTTTTTTCTTGTGACTTTAAAACCAATCATTAAGATATTTTAATTTTGTCCTACCAAACTGTATCAACTCTACAATAAAATTTTAAGCAGATTTTTAAAGCAATATTTTAAGTAACCAATTAAGTGATTTATTTTCTTGGGCTTCACTTAAGAGAATTTGTTTTGGCCATTCGAGACCTTTAAGAGTATTGGATTTAAATTTCATTTCCTCTAAATTGTCCCATCTTTAAAACTATTATCCTGAACACTAAAATTGGGACCCCTTTCTTTTTCTGAGAGTCTGTTTTAAAAGCGATCAACACTCCATTTTATTCAACATTTGCTGGATAAATATTGATCACTCATGCAGTTTGGACCCAGGATCTGAAAGTAGAACTACTCTCAAGTCACACAGCTATGTGTCTCTCTCTGTGCTTTAGAGAAGGAGGTAATTACAATAACATCTTGAAGTACTTCGTCTAGATTGCTATTTAATGGAGGTTTTAATTTAAGCACACACAGGCAAAGTATGGTAAAGAATTTGCCAAGGCAATAAAATATAAAAAAAATAACAAAATCATGGGAGACAATTCAGAAAAAAAAAAAATGTTCAACCCAAAAGCATTACCTATCTCTAAAATGGTTAAATTTCTCCTAACAGTGGGAAGACTGAAACAGGAGGATCACTGTGAGTTTGGGGCCAGCCGGTGCTACCTGTCTCAAAACAAACAAACAAACAACAAAAATGTCAAACTCCTTCATAACGTTGTGAATATTGGAGTCTAAATAAGTTAAGAAACACAGCAAAGTCACATGGTGATGACAAAAGGCATATATTATAATTTATACTCCAAAGAGTTAAATACCAGTGAATGCATGAAGATGTTGAACTTCACAAATAAAGAAACATGATTCTTAGGGGACACATAGTTCAACTTTTCACATATCAGAATGTGAAGATTAAAATGGTGACAACTCCAAGTTGGTGAGGACAGGGAATAAATAACAGAGTCCTTGGGGTATAGGTCACCCCACTTTTCCAGAAGGCAGCTAACAACACACAAAGACATTTTAAATGAGCATGTTACTGTATGGAAGAAATTTACTTTTGAAATTTATCTTGGGGTAATGTGGAGAAGAATGAAAAGTTGTACCAAATGAATGTGTTCCCTCAATATTTGCTATCCTGTTGATGCCAAAGTTTGGAAACAAGTAATGTATTTGTTAAATAAGTAACAATCTAGCCCGGTGGTAGAATACCACATAACTACAAAATCTCAGAATTGATCATTTTTATTTACATGACTACCTATCAATCAACTTATCTATACATAGTAACATATATTTCAGTATACTCGTGTTTAAATGTACATTGGAGTGAAAAGTAAATCATATGTAATGTAGTATTCTGTTCATGAAAATATATCTGTGGACATAATTATACATCCTTATGCAAATACACATGCATATACACACATATACATGCACATGCACACAGTATGACAGAATATATCACAGTCAATGAGGTAGATGGAACTTAAGAGTCCCTATATATAATTCACTGTCTTGCTCTAATTCAGAGCAAGCAGATGGTTTGAGGGGAAGTTAAAGTCATGAGTAGGTTTATAACAAGTGGTTTCATTTTTCCTTTTATATTTTCTGGAAATGTTTACCTCCCTCACCTCATTTTTAGATCAGTTTCCTCTTTATTTCCTAAATCTACGTGAAACACACGCACTCATCTTTTTAGTAGAATGTAATGATGTGTTAAAATTCACTCAGAAATAGTAAGATGATAAACATGAATCTGGAAACTTGGCTCTTCCCTACCAGAGTGGCTCTAAATAAAAAATGAAGAAAATGAGCATAGTGTTTTGCTCCAGGGGAAAGGCTTTGCTTTAGGAAGACAAAACAGATATAACCAATGAAAGTATGGTTTCACCCTGAGCAGCAAAGCCTGTTTGCTCCTGGGTTGCCATGTGGGTATAGTAAGTGCTGAGTAAAGGACTGTGGACTCCAAAGGATGAGATAAGAAGTACTAATGCCAGGCAGGAATCCTGAGAGCCCATAATGATCCATCCCTGCTCACTAGCATGGAGGGTTAGGGACCTTTAACCTAACTAGAAGTTAGTTGCCTCTCACTGGAAAAATGAAGCTCGCCTACTTTTCTGACTGATTCATCTCATATAAACCACTTAACCCTTTATGTAGAATTATGCAGATGACTCTAAAAAGTGCATTTCAAAGCATGTTTTGCTTAAATACATTCTTTATTCTCTTTCCCACTTTGGTATTTAGTGCCTGCTCTGAGACCACACAGTTCTAAAGAGAATGCATTAAGGTAATAGTGGAGAATTCACTTGTATGAGATTCAACAGAAATTGTGCCTAGGATCTCCCTTCTGCACTTCACTAACACTCATATGAACCATAAATAGGGGTTTCCTAAAGTAGAAGAAACCCAAAATCCTGAATTGATTCAAAATACATACAGCTCCGACAGAAAAGATGCATTCCTAAGTCCTTCTAATTCTGTAGGACACAGATTAAGACAAGGTTTTGCATAGTTAGATCAAGTGCCAAGTTTGTAAAACTATTAGTGTGCATCATAAATACATTAATTAAAGAAACATGTATATACAAAAAACTGAGAAACGCAAAATATATGTGACAGCTTTTTAAAAGTGTGTCCCTGACTTTTACTTGGGCAATCCAACACCTTTCTGGTTCTTTGGGCTCCACTGCTCCATTTAAAACAGAAGAACAATACCAACACGTTAAGGATAGAGCTGGGTCACTGGGCCTTCATTGTGCAACTCGGAGGCAGAGCAATACTCTTTATGGAATATGATAAGACAGAATGATGGCTTCTTTGGGTGTATGTGGAGGAGAGTTCTTCATTTGCATAATAAATAAATTATTCATTGTTCTTTCTTAAAGGGCTTTTCAAAATTAAGGCTGTTGTAAAGTTAAATTAAAAAAAAAAAGACCTACATGAATGTTGTAACTTCTGCTATTTATGAGACCATCATCCTTGAGGTGAAAACACAAACGGATCAGCAGCCTGAGAGCCGGGCTGTGTGGGGCAGCTGAATTTTGTCTATTGTCTGCTTCTTCCAAGCCGCCTTTCAATGCTGCCTGGGGCACTAGGAGGTGGGAAGAGGGACTCTGTGAATCTTGACTGCCTTGGAAATATAAAATCCAACACAGAGTCGTGGGGGCCCATTTCATCTTATTAGACGTTTCCAGAGATGTTCAGAATGTATGCGGAGCAGTACATGCGCAATTATAACGCCCCATTATGCTATTATTGCTACTCATTGTGACTGTGGTCCAGGTCAGATCGTACAGCCGGGAAGCAGCTCTCACTTTCTTTTTGCAAGGGTGGACTTTAGTCCATCGTCTGATGAGATTTTTTTCGGAAAATGCCCTACTTAAATAACGATGCTTTGGGAGGAAAAAAAAAAAAAACTGTCTCAACAGAATGTTTTACCTTTTGGCTGTGGTCTCTTTACAGCGCTTTCTTTCCTATCTCCTTTTGATTTTTCTCCATATAGCTGTAATAAAAAGAAATTCAGAGCAGTGAATGCTAAGTCCTAAATGAAATCTTGCATGGAGTGAACATTCTTGAGACATTAATAATAAATTTGAGGATGGCCAAGCAGATGGTAGTTTCTGCACCCTTTTGTACCTCGGCCCCTGGTAGGGGGACTGCAGGGTAGGCTCTGACACTTTTAGGGAACAAAGTACTTCAGCACTATCTCTACCCCCCTTCAATTCAACCCTCATCTGAGAACTCCTGAAATGAAGCTGTCACTCAGGGTTGCTTGGGGACCTGTCAGCACAACATTGAGCCTTTTCATTTTGATGGGTCAGCCTGCAATCCCCTTGAAAGAGAAGTCCGTGCCACTGTGGTTTCTCTTTGCACAGGAATCCTGAATTCTAATGAAACTCCAAATCGCTCAATAAAGGCAGGGGCACGAGGAAGTAATCCAACGCAGATCTGAGTGAAATTTGTATTTTATCTTTTTTTCCCCCCAGCCCATTATTCTAATCGCTTAGGTGGTTCACAAAGGGTTGCTCGCAGGCCAGGCGCTAGAGGAATGAGGTGCCCTTTGTCCTGATGCTCCACTACCGATTAGGTAGGGGCTCTCTGAAAATGAAAAGCCGGGGCTCAAATTTTCTTGGGTAAATATCTGTCCATGTACTGTGTTTTCTACCGGAGTGCTACACATGTGGATTTCTAATGCACATCCAGCTGATAGAGAATACAAGTTTTCTCACTAATTAGAGGGGTTTTTTTTGTCTTATTTTATTTTTTATGTGTTCACCAAACTGTCTTTTAAGACTCTACTGTGAACTATTGTCCCCAAATGAAGAGAACAGCATTGCAATTTTTATGGTCAAAAAATGTAGCATGCCTCTGACAGGCCCCCCCAGACATCATAGGAGTGATTTCTTTTTTTAAGTTATTTGAACAGTGTTCACAGTTGTGAGACATCTAACCCTGAGTGTCATACACCATTCAACCCCCATCTTTCTCTGGGATGGGACAGATAATTAATAAATCTTTTAGATAGAAGGTGTGGGTGGGATGGCCTGATGAAATCTATGATATAGTTAGCTAGCAATTCTAGAATTGTATGTGTTGACATAAAAAAAAAAGACAATTCACTTAGAAACTCACCTGTGAATCTTTTTATCCTTTTCTCAGAATATTTGTATAGAGGATGCATTTTCAGAACTGTCGACATTCAAAAGGTAGATAAACAGATACAAAGCTGCAAAAAGCTACAGTCTACTTCTAGACATAGACGAAGAGAAGTTGACTCTGTTTTTTACACACTATACCCCTATTAACCTTCATTTTTCATTATTTAACTCCTGGGAAGGACTATCAAGCAATATTTAAAGTGCATTCCTATGTCCTTCTGACCTTTATGACTCCCCCATCACGATGACATTACTCAACACCAGAGAGTCACTGATTCATGCTCTTTTCTTCCACTATGGCACATCACCCTAAAGATGTCAACTGCCTGTCCTTCAAATGCCCAAGGAACATCTGTTACAGCTCCAGGTGCCCTGGTGGACAGACATTAGCCGTTCTTCTTTTTCCCACTTGATAGAGTAAGTACAACAGATCACTGCTGATGAGACAGCCTCCCCTCACTCTGCCTGGTTGCTGGTGGTTCCTATTAGAAGAAACAGTTGAAAAATACCACAAGTGTTGAACTGGGACTTTGCAGGTGGTTTTAATCTATGAAGCATTTTGTCTTTTGTACATGAAATACTGGAAAACAATGGAACATTATTTCAAAAGTCATGATCAACCCTACAAAGTGTAAAAGGGGATAATGGAAGAACTAAAGGAAAACCATGAGTTGTAGCCTTTATCCCTTACTTGTTTTTAACTCTAATGCATGGAAAGGTCCAAAGGAATTCCAAACCCAGGGCAGTCGGGACTTAACACCTCTTTCTTGGACCAGGTTACTTTATACCACCAAGATAATGTAAGCACCATATACTTAATAGTCTCTGCCTGTGGCTAATTGTTTCCTATCTGGGATTTCTTACCAAGAAAAAAAAATGTTAGATACATACACACATATTCATATATGGAGAGATGTTCCCAGAGTATGCAGAGAAATACCCTTTCATCCTGATTCAGTCTGCTTCACATATCAGTAACACACACACACACACAAGTGGGGGGCACTGAGGCTTAGGGAGAGCCTTAATTTAAAATGATGGAGTTTTCAAAACTATCTGGAACAATACATATTGTTCTTTCTAAAACTGCCGAAGGCACTGATACTGGCGGCCGCATTGTTAAATTGTTTTGTGGTATTTTCTAAATATGTATATGGACCCAGTGGGAAAGTTGATATTAGAGTTTAGCTATTTTATTTGTTGTGGCTGAAAAACAGATTCAAAAATTGTTCTTCAGTTCCCCCTAAAAGTCTAGATGTCATATGAGAGGAAGAAATTGTGTGCTATTTTCCTTCATTTTTAGGAACAAGTGCCCTAGTTTGAGAACTACAGGGTCCCAAGCAACTATTAATGACTGGCTACCTATTTATTAATCTGCCAATTAGGTAGACATCCCTCTTTAGGTTTAAAGTGAATTGCAGTATCTAATTTAAAGTTTATTTCTTGCATCAAAGACAAGTAAAATTTGGGAAAGTCACACTCTCATAGGAGCTCTAAAAAGTTTACTTGCAACTCAGACTGATGCCATGTGTGTTTGTTTAGAGGATAGTCCCAATGCAGCTGGCAGAGCTTCTTGAGGAAATTCAGTATCTACCACCTGAGAGTTCACTTCGGAAGTTCCTTAAATGTTTCAAATGCAGACATACATTGCAGTTACTAGCTTGGACTCAGCTCATAAAACATGTATTAACCATGGGGAAGATGTAACTATATTTGTGTATATTTGGGGCTGATTCTTTAAATCAATATTTTATTGGAAAGTTACTTTTACCACTCAATCTAAAAGCAAGCTTTAACAGAAAATGCTAGCACTGAATATAGCCACTTGCCTCCTGGATATTTATATTTGGTCATAGAACTGGTATTACCTGCTTTTCATCCCAATTAGCCAGATCTTAATCCTAAAGACATGGCCTTCAAGGTCAGCTTTCCAAGACAGGAAATTCCACCCATATTTAAATACCATGCACGATGTTGGCATAAGTAATCTTTTCCCACAGGAAGTGGAAATACCCCATGACATAAATGTATTCAGACAGTAATATTACTCTGTACATCTAAGAAATGGAGAAGCTTGTATTTTTTTTTAAGCACCTGTCACTCTCTAGAAAGTACATGCCAAATTTCTCATGGTGTATTATAGTTATTGGGATGTTTTTTCTTTTAAGTTCCATCTCCCCAGTATACATTATTCCTCTTCTTTGACTCCAGACTTTACCTCCCTTTGGTCAGTCTGCCAAATTTCCTGTGCATTTTGAACACTCCAACGAAAGTCCAGAATTCTAAGGTCAGTGAACCCCCGTCCGGCACAGCACACACTTCACCCCAGGAATGTCTCCAGGGATGATCAGCTCTACATGCTGTAAGCAACCAAGGAGATAAAAGTCTATGCCTCCATTTCTTTATTTGTGAAATCCAGTGAGCTTACCTGTCCGCTACCAAAACATCCCATTAGTAAAAAGAAACAAGAAAGTGTTGGTTAAGTGTTTCTAAGCTGGAGGCAGAAGATGTCATACAAGTAAATAGTAATTTCATTAATTGCTGTGAAGCAGCAAATGTCGAGCTTAAATCAATGCTACTTTCTCCAGAGCAAAAGCTAAACACAGCAACAAAGCAGCACAGTTAAAATTAACTATGGTTCTTGTTAAAGCTGGTGAGACACAATTAAAAATGGGGATTATTGCCAAATCTCATTTACTGTTTTCTTATACATAATATCTGTACATTCAAGTCTTCATTACACTTCTCAATGGCATGGAAATCCCATTGCATCTGTTTATTCTTGATTTTTATCAATGGGAAAAATTATTTAATTCCCACACAACATCAAGCACTGTAATGATATACACAGGGCTGCTGTAGCAACTGGATCCCTACTGGGCTCCCTCTTCCCCTCCCACCCTCCAATTCTGATAGTTTCTGTGTGTGTGTATGTGTGTGTGTGTGTGTGTGTGTGTGTGTGTGTGTGTGTGTGTGTAAATGCTCATGAGTAAGTTTAAGTGTGTGTATGTGTGTGTTTTTACTTTCTAGCTACAATGTGCAATATGGCTGTCTCTGACTGCTCGCAGTATGCCAAATGGTGCTGAGTGGGTTAATTGGCATTTTAAAAAGGTAATTGTGAAGTGCAAGCAGCAGGGTTATCACCAGAATTGGGAGGTGGAATGTAGGTCTCCCACCCACTGGAGACTCTTACATCTTGAAGAGCAGGCTGAAGACAAAAGCATCTTGACTGCTGTTTCTCGACTTTCCCTTTCAGTAGCAACCACTCACCCCCAATGCTCTCTTCTGAATGTACTGTATCAAGCCAGTCGTTACAAGAGAGGAGTGCGGGCTCTGTCCTGCCTGCAGAATTACTTTGGGACTTGATTGCAACATAAATATGCAGTCAATCATTATATGTGTGGGCTATTTTAATCGTGCATAATGTATATATGTAGATTTGTTTGGAAAAGACATGTAAAATGCCTGGAGACTGCTGTACTTAAACACATTTCCATGACTTTTGGTCTGGACTCTATATTTTTTAGATGGGTTTTTAAACAGGTGATTGTTAGGCATAAGAAAATACCATTTATCTCAGACCATGAGTGTCGCAGAAGAGCTATGCAACTGCAGCGAAGATGGTCTGCCGTTCACACCTGACATAATTTCTTGATTTGAATTCAAAAAATAAGTATCTTTTGGAAGCGGTATAGCCCTCCATCACACTAAAGCAAAAGACGGAGTAGGGGAGTTATATTTTACTTGGAGATGGAGAGATGGCTTGGTGGGTAAGAGCACTGGCTGCTCTTCAGAGGAGCTGTGTTTGATTCCCAGCACCCATGATGGCTCATAACATTCTGTG